ATGAAATATAAAGTGCATTTATAAATTATACAAATGTGTACATTTATAAATTGATATAAATATAAAAGGCTTTTCTGAGTTGTTGGATGGAGGAATTATTATTTTTTGAGGTTTCTTATCTCTTTTTGGCTAGATTGTGTTCTTTTGTTATATAAGGGGTGGCAAATGAAGTTTTCAACTGTCTGTTTAAAAGAAAATGACTCCAATTTGTCTTTCTGAATCCCCAAAGACAAGCACTGAAACTAGCACTCAGTTTCAGTGAGCACCAGCAGAGTCTGTAAGAGCATCTCGGATACTACTATATGATCTGTAAATTCAAACAGATAAAATGCATCAAGTCATTGAGATTGTTATGTCTGAGGCAGAGTTCCTGCTGTGGGTGGGTGTTACAGCATAAGAATAATTGATTATGGTAGTCATCTGCCACTTCCCTTTATAAAATGTGATGTATTTAGCATCATAAACTCCTTGGGTCCTGCCAGCAGAGGTGGTAGTGCAAAACAGTGCACCAGTTTTGCAAATGGGAGTTGAGTGATAAAAACTTGACTTCTGAGAGTCTTATTAGTAGGAGTGCATTTTAACTATACATGTTTAAAAGCAATGCGCTGTCGCACCAGATCTTCCGGATCCATTCATCATGATCTACAACTTTGTTTCTACCAATAAAAGTTTTCTCTATTTTATGCTCACTTCTTAACATTTAAAATACAAAGATATGGCAAAATGGTTCTTCCAGGTTTTTTACCTGTCAGGGTGTTCTTTCATCTCATTAATCCATGCAACAGATTAATTGGCTTCAGGATATCCTGGGGGGAAAAAAAGAAATGTCAGCTATGTTATTGCTTGCTAGGAGAGGGGTAGGTGCTGGTAGGGGACAGCTCACAGTGATTTATGTTGAGATTTGTGTTCCCACAGTGTCATTTCCACTTTGGTATGCTGATGTGATGATGCTGAATTGAGTTCCCACAAAAGAGAAAGACTTTATTTTGGCTGCAAAATAAGTACTGTGTTTTACTTGATGTAAAATGTTTGGCTTTATTTTATGGATTCTTAAAAATAATCTGCCACAACATGCACTGGAAATTGGAAAAAGATCAAGGTGTTTTAGGTACTGTAAACTGGCAGAGACCGAGCACTGTGCATGGTGATGCGAAGGGTGGTCCTGGCCGCTGAAAGCAGAAGGAATAGGTCACACTGGGATAGTGTTTCTCCTCATTGCCACGTTAGCTTCTTATAGCCAGAGAGGTGCTCCACATGATAGAAATTCATGTTAGATGTTAGGCTAAGTTGTGAATTTGTACTTGAGGTGACAGGTCCTGAAGACTGCTACCTCACATACCAATCAGGGAGTAATTTTAATTTGGGTACAGCAGTAAGTAACACTACTGGAGTTTGAGGTATGAATAGGGGATGCTATCTATGAGTATTAGACATACTGCCTGCTTTTCTTTGAGTCCTCAGCCGAGTCATACGCAGCAGTTAGCAACTCAGCCAGCCAGATACATGTACACTGATCCCAGAACTGCTGCAGAGACTTGGTATTCATCTACAGAGGACACCTTAGTGCTTGTGATGGCCAAATTAAATAACATCAACTTAGATAAGGCATAATCCCTATGATAAAAATTCCCTTTAAATACACTTCAGAAGCTTTTTCCCCCATGTAAGTGTTTTTCTTAAATAATGGGAAAATCGGGATGTGTGGTTTAGAAGCTGGATTCTAGCTCAGAGATAATTACAAAATTTCTGCCTGTTTCTATAATTTAATGAACATGCTTTCTGAACTGACAGTTTATATGCTGAGTTTAAAATGGCTTGAAATTAAAAGTTCAAATAGGACATTAAGCCAGGAAATAAATCTTAACAATGGTAATAGTAATACTGTATTGAAACTGGTTAAGAAATCACAGAGCTGTGGACAGAATTAATAGTTTTAATAGCTACATTAATACTGGCTTCATGCTAAACATTACACGTGTTTATTTTCTCACATCTCTGGCAATGTACTTTATCAAGGTACAATCCTTTATTCTTAAGTGGTCCAATACATAAGTTGGAACAACTTCTAAAATTCATCTTAGTTGGAATGATTATAATATGGCAGGTCGGTGATCAGCTTTATTCAGAGATTTATTCTGAAATTCTAAATTTCATTTATTGATTTGAGTATAGTTTAGTACATTTTTCCCCCCACAATGATGTGAATAAGCTTGAACAAACTGGGTGGTTTTTTAGTTTGATGGGGTTTGTAACCTCATTTCTGTCTGCACTAAATGATACAAGTTCACTTAAAATACTGGTTCAGTTTAGTCTGTATTTTGTCTACAATTGCTTCAGACTAGAGGACAATCTGTAATTAAAGGAGCATTTTACTAACTTTCTACTTAGTCATTAATTTAAAGTCTTAATTTTGGTAAACCAAAAGATGTAAGGATCCTTGTAAATAAAAATCCAGTTGTAATATTCTTCCTGTATTAATCTTATTCTCACAACTGCTTGCTTTGAGCTTTTTTCTTTTTATTTCAGCAGAAATAAAAAATAAATCACAAAAAATCCAGACTTTAAGCAAAAAGTAGACCAATGTTGGTTTTTTTTAAAGAACGGACCTTACAACTTCTTAAATCTCCTACAATTTGAAATTTTAAAAGCAGGTTATATGCATTTATTCATTTATACAAGCAACAGGCGGTTGAGGGCAGCGGAAGACAGAGCTAAAGGGCAGGTGATCCGTGCACTGTAGGCAGAGCTTACTAGTCATTTGGGGAAAATCAGGGCAAGATTTTCAAAGGAAATATTTCCTAGGATTTTCAAAGCTACTGAAAATTTGGGAAGTCTTTAAAATAGGAAAAAATAAATATGCAATTCTGCGCTTACTTTAAATATTTGCTGGGGAAGGAATAAAACCTCCAAATTAGGAGTTGGAATTACAATTTTCCTTATTACCCTGTAACTGACCAAGTGAACACCAGCTGTGTAAATGCAGGATCTATCAAAGGGGAAGCTTTTGCTAGACCTCATAAATGAGGTTTATCTGCCTATAAGCCAACTGAGCCCCTCACTTCCCTGCTACTAAAAGATACTACTAAATTTCCGTGTATGTTGGTTTGTGTCACTTCAGAGGGAAATAAGCTTTTCAAGTCTAACATGTTCATTTGCCTTTTGAGGTATGAACAGTGTAACATGTTTATGGTTTAACTGCTGTTTATGCAGCCAAGTGGGCATGAGCATGGTTAAAGATTAATATAAGCACCTGTCTATTATTTTTAATTAGGTTTTACCAGACCTGGAACAGGAAAATGAAATATCCAACCATTTTGACCCTGATGTTAATTGTTTTCAATAAAAAAGTACCACCTGTCAACTGTAGCAGAAAACATATGCTCAGTACAATAGTATGCAAACAAAGTGCTACACAGCTCATCTTCAAAAACTAGCCCTATATGATTAATCTTTCTCTAATGAACATATAGCAAACACTGCCACAGAGTATGGTTTTAGCTTTCAGAAGAACATATTTGCTATCTGGTGTGAAAAATGCATTCTCCATACATAAGCAGTTCAAAAATGATCTCTGTGCACAAGTCAGCAAATGAAAAGTTGTCCTGTTTTTATAGTGAAAAGCCTCTTTGCTGTGGTTTAAATCTTTATCTCTTCTTACATGCATGGGGATAATTGTTAAGGATGTCTGTGGAAGATTTTCATTCTTCTCCAAAATCCCTCTAAAGTGGTTCTCTTTGAGTACCTCTTTACTTACAGGCTTGGGGTAAAACATCTACATTATGTGCTTATGACTAGATAGCATCTGGAAGCACATGTGCTAGGTAGGTGACCTACCTACAGAAGGGAAAAAGCAGGTTTCAGTTCCTGCTTGCATAGCAAGAGCATTTTATCCAGAGGTAAATAATTTCAGATGCATCTTTCTCCTTCTTCAGTGGTGAAGAAGAGAAATTGAACTTTCCCTAAGTGTATTAAATGCAAGATATTTGCTTAAAAAAATGAGACTCTCACAGCAGAAAAAACATTTTTCTTTGGTTTTATTATCCGCGTTTGTGAAGCTGAGTAGAGAAAAGGCAAAAAGGAAAATGCAGTAATGGAAGAAGTAGAATAGCAGACAGAATACATAAAGAAAAAAAAAACAACCTAGATTGTCATGTCTTAAAGACTGTGCTAATGTATACTCTAGTATAGACCAAATGCATTGGGATTTAGGTATTGATTTAACGGATTTTTTTTGTTCCAGGATGGACTGATGATAACATGAGATTCTTTTGCTCCTATTACCATCAGTAACACATCTGTCTCTCTTGTAGTGATGCACTGATAAAGTATGTGTGTGTATTTGCAAAACCATCCAGCCCTTATAGATATAATTGTGGCTTGGAAAACAGAGTTGCTCCAGAATATGTTAATGGAAGTGAGGGTAGCCTCTTGGTGAATCATGGCTCCTATGACTGAAACCTGAATGGTCTCTTGCAGCAATGTAAGGAAGAGAATGTGTGATAGTAATCAACTGAGCTGCATTACTGGAGATTATTTTTTAGAAAAACTTTGTGAATTTTCAATGGGTAGCAAACAACTATTCCACTGCCACTGAAGTTGCTTTGCTTAGGGAAGAAAACCAAGATTCTATTCCAGCAAGTATATTTGAATTCTGAACTCTGATGCAAAAGCCATTCCCAAATTCATGTTGTTTGATTATTTAGGAAGCTTTGGAACAATATATGTTGATGGACGTCAGCGTCACATGTGGGGATGGTACTATGTTGGGGAATACATCTTATTTTGATATTGATCAAGGTATATCTTGTATAGCAAATACTAAAACAGAAGGTGCTATTGAAGCTTCAAAGCAAATGCCAGATAAGTTAATGCTTTATTCAGTGTCACAAGTTAAGTTTTTCAAAGTCATAATTATGTTTCTTATGGTTTTTCTACCACTGAAGCTGTAGAAGAAGCTGACTCCAGGTCACCATAGCTCATTTCTGTTTTCCTGTTTTCAGGAAATTCCCTGGTTTTGACTGTGATGTTATTTGAGGCCAACTAACCCCCTCTTCTAGGATTTAACCCCAGAAAATGCCACAGGATATTGGGCAAGTTATTTATAGTATGTTCCTCTTATGGCATAGACTCAGAGGATGCATGACTTCAATTGTCCTTGTTTGCCACCTGAGCTTTAGAAACCTAAGAGAAGGAACCGTAACATCTTAATCCTGGATTAAGCAACTTCTGTATCTCTAGAATGACATTCCATGTTAACATTGCAGCCATGAACTTACTCCCGAGGGACAGCTTGGCACTTTTGTCTATTCATGCAGTTGTCTAAAACTGCATTCAAATGTCCCTTCTGGAAGCAACCTTGCATATGTGTTGGCAGACTCAAAAAATCTCCTGACATCTGTGGCTTGCAAAGTTTTGTGCATTCACGGTGTAGACTGTGGGATTGGCGTTTATCCACTTATTCCCAAGTATAGGCACTTGTACTCTTTTTAATAAAATACCTATTGCAACAATGACCTGGAACAACAGAAAATGTTCAGCTGAAAGGTGCTGTCCCATTTTTCCAAGCTAATCCCATTGTATACCCAAATGCCTTGGATATGATGCAAAAGGTGAAGAAATGAGATTTTGTTTAGGAATGGAGAGAAGTCAACCCCTTGGGCGTGAATACCACAGTTGCCACAAGCCAGGCAACAGATTCTCTAAGAAGGGAAAGTCAAAGAGGGCAAACCACATAGAGGGCAAAAAAAAAAGCATATGTGTTTATATTGCTCCTTAAAATCAACATAATGCAGCAGTGGTTTGTTCAGGTAGCAATTAAAAATAATAAATAGCTAATGTTTTTTCTTTAAAGCTAACTGTGAAAAGCTTTTATGAATTGTTCTTTGTATGTTTAAGTTCTCCTGCTCTGCAATATGCTTCATGTCCTACATAGTGGTATTTTCTGGTGCCTGAATCGATATTTTGTCAGTGATCAAGTGCTTTTGCTATGAAAAGGCTTTTAGTACTGTTATGAAGCAGTCAATAACCATGACTGACCTTTCAAAACTCACAAGCCTTTACTCCAGCCACTTTGAAAAAGTGAATCTATATAATCTACTTGTGTTTCTTGGTAAGTAGGCTTTAAAAAGAGTATATGAACAGCAGCAGAGACCTGGCCCTTTGGCAGACCCCCTTGTATCAAATGGGCAGGTTTTGTTTCAGAGTAACATGCTTGTCCTATGCAGAAGCTGATGTCCATTAGCACAGATGATGAAAGCGTGTCAAAACCCTGCTCCTGTCCCAAACAATGCTTTATTTTGAAATCTAACTTTGCTATGTGGTTTTGAACAGATTTCTGACTGTTCCTGGAATATTCTGGTTTGATTATACCTGAAGACTTCTTCATGGTGTTAGGGGGTATTAAGCATTTTCTTTTATCCAGGCAATTGGTGCCTCACAGAGTCTGTAGAGAGTGGAATACATGCCTAGGCTGACCTGCTTCAGGGCACATAGTCCCAGTGGCAGCCTTGGCTGGATGCAATCCCTTTCTCCAGAAGTGGAGGTCTTGGAAAGGCAGAGCAGACATCAGGATCTGTAAGAGGGGACAGATTTTTTTACTACTTTTTTTAGAGTTTCATCAACTAGAAACTTCTTGTTTGTTAAATGGTTTGTATGCAAATGTGTGCTAAGAGAAGGGCTGGCAGAGGGCACTGTCCATAGGCTGCTAGGGAGAAGAAACCTTAGCAGTAGCAGGAAAGGCTTGACAGCCTCCCAAGCAAAGAGAGCAGAATTAAAATGACGTCCTTCCATTAACAAAGCTTCATCTTCTTCACTTCACTCTCCATGCTTCTGTCTTGCTTTGAGATCTGGATAATTCTTTGTCATGGATGACAGCTGTGTTTCCTGAGAGAAACATTTTATGATGGCTGCCTTTTCCAGAAACAATACGTTTCTGCAAGGGGTCTTGCATAAATAAGGATGGTTTTTTGACTTGCCAGTGAAACGCTGATTTACTGAAAGCATCATGCTTGAAAACGGCTTATTTCAGTAATATTTCACAGTGGCAGATACACGAGTAAAAGGGAATCATCACATTAGATATTACTGGTAGGTATTTTATTGCTTATGCCTCCTGTAAAATCAAACTCCTGTTTTGATCGGCATAGAAGAGGTATCTCCTTGCACAGAGCCTATTGATTAATGGTCTGCTACTGTGCCATAAACAACTGGTGACTTTGCTGCAGCTATATTGGCTGGATTTGCTTTTGGGATATAATTAAAGAGAAAATAAAACATTACTGAACACATTACTGAAGCACCGGCATTTTCCACACTTTCAAAGATGATAATTGATACCTCATTGTTAAATTATTATGAAAGATGGACTTGAGTATGAACTGCAACTAAGCCTACAGCATAATCAACCAACACGCTAGTTCAATGGTTCATAAACCAGCTGTTTAATTATCTTAACATGGCAGATAATAAATACATAGTGTGGCTCATTCCTATCAAATGTGATCACACAAATGGGCTTTCTTGGAAGAGAGGAGTTTTTTTGGCTATTCTTTTTATAAAAGTTATCCCCTCTGCTTTCTTTTGTGCAAATTGCTGGACGGATATATACTACTATGAGCTTATACGAGAGATATGTTTTGAGAGCATATTCACAAATAAGTTATTTGCATTCAAACTCAATACACTTATTTTTCTGCTGCTGTTTTGTAAGTTTACATCAAAACTTTATATCTGATTTACCTGTATAAATCCCTGAAAAGCAGAATTAGACGAGTCAGGAAAGTCATCTTTAAAGAGCTTCCTACAGTGACTGTTGCTAAGGAAACCTTCATATTGCACTAGGTTTTGAAATGCTGGTAGCATCTGAAATACACAGCTGAATCTCATACATTCAGACCAGAATTAAGGGTGACAGGTAAGGGGGTATAAGTCATAGCGTGTCCCAGTTATGGAGAAATAACAGATAGGAGCTGGATGTAAAAAATACCCAGAGATTCATTATTTGAGATACTAGATGCTTTATGCTCCTGAGATTTTCAGTTTGAGAGGAGGAAAGCTGCCTGAGTTTATCAGATGATATATCGACCTAGTCATGAGTTACTAGCTAGGGGTCATATCAACATCTGGGTACAAAGGAAGTGTAAGTGCAGATTAGTGCATGTTATTAATTAATGATGCAGTAGAGTTATGCAACAGAACTGAGAAAGGTTCACAAAGTGGGGCAGTATGCACAGATGCTACTAGTGACATAATGTGTTTTGGCCGAGGGCTGGCCATTTGATACTTGATCTTTCTTTCCTTCTCCTCTCATCTATCCGCTTATCTTAGATGCATGTATTGTACAGGAATAGGAGGTACATGGTGGGCCATGTGTTACCCTCATTTTGCACACAGCTGAAAAACGAAGGGACCCAGCTCCTGATGATAACTTTTCCTTTCCCTCCAGGCAGCACTTTCTCTCATGGGCTTTCTGTAGCCTCTTAAGACCTTTCTGATAGGCAGAGGCCAGCATACATGGTCCAGAGCTGTAGTGTCGCTGGTACCCACACAATCCAGAGCATCCTGGCTCGACGCCTCCAAAGACAGAAAATTCTTCACCCAGGGAATTGCAATTGAAAAGCAATTTCAGTTGTCCTCCTGCATCCCTCCTCTGCGGAACCTGAGTATAAGCAAGTCAAAACAGGTCCAGAAAGACAGAGGGCTTTGGCAGCTGCCTAGAAAGAGCAAGGCTGTTTAACTGTGTAAAGCACTCATGCTTGTTTCAGAGTGCACCTGGAACTGCATTTACAAGAAATCTTTCTAAAACTTTTTAAGCCTTAGTAGCTTAACAGGGAATAAAACATCTACCAGAGTATCCTCTCCACATTTAAACTCCAAGTAGAAGTTTGTGCCGAGCTGAAAAATAAAACTTCTGCTGGTTAGAGAGACAACAGTTACATCTAATTGGAAAGTGGTTCTCAGAATCTCTTCTTAAAAAAGAGTTTCAGGTATACTTCGAAATAAGGCATAATTCATAAAACTGGGACAAGTACTGTTTCCAGAGTGTCTGTAGACCAGGCTTATTGATCACTGGGGAGTTTCACTACAACGGAGATAGAAATAACACCTCTTCAACAAGGGATGGCAATCCAGGGTCTTCAGAGCATGCTTTTTGCCTATTGCTCCCCCTTGAAATATTTGAACTGTTTCCTTAGAGATAATGTTATGTCAGTGCGTAAAATGCATTGTTAGAGCCAATTTATTTGAGTCTTGAGTTGCTGAGCACATTTTCCTGCCCACAAGGATAAATGGTAATAAAAGCTATCTTCGAACATCATAACTAATTGTATACATTTCTTTCCTATTTAATTTCATTTCTAATGTCACTCCACATAAACAAGCACTAAAATAAAATACATGACAGCTGAGAAGTGTGGCAAATTCTCAAATATATTTACACAAATGTTGAAATGCATATAACATAAATATAAATTTCAGGGTCTTGCTAAATAAAAGATTATGGCTGCTTTGTAGGATTTAGCAGCAGATTTTGGGTTCTGCACAGGGAAAACATGTTTATCTCTTAGATGTTTAGCCATTTATATGTGTAAGTAGCTGACTTTGTGCTCATGCAAATCAGGTTCAAAATCAGAGTGTTTCAGATCTGTTTTGTGAATTCTCACTCTAAAAGCCTGGGGTTTTGCCTTTTTTTCAGGAGCATAGATGGTATTTTCTTTTATAGCAGTGTAATGAAACTAGTGTTTTTACTACTTCCAGGAACAGTACATTTTTCTGTTTGTTGCCAGCATCCCTCTGCAATGGTATTTCTCTTCTTGAGAAAAGCTAAAAATAAGTTGTGAGACTGATCTGCTGACTGCGAAAAAATTGTTGCCCGGGCAACCTGATCTTTTTCATAATTTTGTGGCTTCAGCCGTCTGATGGTTCCAATAGGTAAAACTGTAAAATCTTCAACATTTCCATCCTACAGGAACTCCCCTCATTGTGAACGAGTTTTCATTCAGAAATATGATGAAAATGAACCTGATTTTCCTTTAAGGAAAAAATAGTAACTTTTGTTTTTGGTGGGAATGACAAAATTCAAATGTTGCTGGTTCTTTCTAAAACAAAATGGAAGTGATCTTTAACTGGATGGGGGGATTGGAGTTTCATTCAGTGCACAGGGGAGCCCTAAAGCATTTGTAGTCATGAAGCTGGACTGTGCAAGTTCTGCCTCTACCTTGGAGCAGCCTGAGGGGTTTGCACCAGGGATGCTGATTTCACTAGCAAACTGGTGGTGATTTCTCACGCTGTCTCTTACAGGAGCCTCCTCTGCTTCCTCTAAAGCTTCCTTGCAGTAGTACTTCTCGGAAAACCTCAGGTAGATCTGCTCCCACTCCAAAAACTTGGGCAGAAAGCAAGCTTAAGGAACATTGCAGATTAAACTGTGATTTCCAAAGCACTGTGGATTTATGCCATGAGAATTAGCCACAGGCTCTCAGATGTTGCCATCAATGAGAAAATGCCCTTTGATTTCATGAGAACTAGATGGGCCAAAATCCACCAGTTTCAGCTGGTCCACAGTGCTACGCTTTTAGTAGGGGAATATACTGGCAGCTGAAGAATCCTGTCCCTTTTTTTCTGGAAGTAGATTAAAGAAACAAGATCAATACAGCATGTAACATGTCCTGAGAACTTACTAGCTAGTTATCCACCTTATTAACAGCAAGAATGAAATAAAGCTCAATTTAATTCTGCATAGTTTATTCAAAGTGAATAAATGAGCAGGCAAAGATTGCTGTGTTTATACATATTTCATAGAGGCTTTTGATAAGAAGCAGAACTAACCATTTAAGTTTAATTGCATCCAAATAAAGAACTATTTCCCACGGCTACTGAATAATGCAATATTATTTTTGTTCTACTGTGTTCAAAAACAAAGGCATTTCATAGTAGCTTAGGAGGTAAGATATAAAAGCCTGTATTTGTTTTGGGGAGGGAGGAGGGCGGAAGGAAGGTAATTACAATATGCCATTTCAGACAAGACTTGCTGAACCTCAGAGATACTGGGAGATAAGTGTGGTTTGAAATGAGAACATCAGATAAAGAGGCTTTAAAGAGTTAACATGCCTGCCTGTACAGTAACTGCATTAAGATTTGTGTGGCCAGCAGCAATTATGATTTTTTGTATTGATAGCTTGTACTGTGAAGTATGAAATTCCCCAAAGAATCGTTCTGTATAGAGTTAGTATGAGACTCTACACGGTTACGTCCTCCTGGGAGCTGCAATTGTTGCTAACAAGGCATCAAGAAGTGAAACACCGAAAGCTGGGTTACACACACACTTTCCATAATGCGAGGAAAACAAACAGGATGTTACAAGTTTGTACAATTTCTATGAACCTCAGCATATCTCAGGACACAGCGGCATGCTTTCTTATGGCATTTTAGTACTCAAGGATCTGTAGGCTGAAGCTGTATTAGGGGCTACTGGTAATAATATTTAAAGCAGAAGAGGGAGAAAGAATGTGGGAGAAAACTCTTGCCAATAAGCTTGCTTATGCAGACAGTCTTTTCCCTCTTGGCAGAAGAAGTTTTCATATTTTAAGGTGAACTGTTGAACCACCAGAGCCAAG